TTGCAACACGGGGCCCCCCCCCCCCCCCAATGCATTGTTATGACTCCCCCCCCCCCACCCCCCCCCCCGTCCTCACCTCGACGACCACGAAGTCGTGCCAGTCGATGGACCGGAAGGCTATCCTGTCCGCGTCTGCCGCTGCCAGCGTGGCCTGCTTCTTGGCCTTCTTCTCCCTGTCGAACTCCCACCGGTGCACGCACCGCTCCAGCGTTTGCTGTCGATCTCGCCCGGACTCCACGTACGCCCGCTGCGTCGCGGTCGGCTGGAGAACCTTGGTGTACGCGTCTACCAGGCTGCAGGTGCGGGTTGTCGCGGAGGACGCGGACGCGGGTCGTTCCGGGCGACACAAACACGTGAATTAGAAATATACTTACTGCGTACTTGGGTCACATGGAAACTGCGCGTGTGTTTTCATATATATATTCTTCGAAAGTAGTTGTACTAATATTATCAAGTTTGGGGAAGGCGTGTGTGGTGAAAGCGGCGGGTCGTCATAAAATCGTTCTCAGTGTCACCCGCTGCGGGGCTGTGTGGACTGAAAAAACCTCTCTGTAGGCGTCGACAAGAAACAATGCTCGAAACGGGAAGTGTTAAGTGGTGCACGGACAGGTTGGCGCCTCTTCATTGGTCAGCCGTTCGGCGCAGTCGACGATGCCAAGTAAATAACCTCCACACACACACGCGCGCACACAGCGCTTCTGCTATTGCTACGGTATCTGTCTTTAATCCAGAGAGTAGCGTAGACTCCCCCATGACGCTCGGTCCCAGGGTCCCAGATTGTGGCCTTCAGAAGCATATTGTGTTTTCAACCGTACTGAGACTGACGTTTTTTCAATGGTCAGCCGGTTCGGGCGGTCGATGACAATAAGAAACACACACACAGCGTTGTCGGTGAGAACCCATACTATTTCATTACAAGGGTTAGTGTTTGATATCCCACTACGAGGCTGGTGTCTCTTTTTTGGTCAGCCGGTCGACGCTAACAAAGATAACACACCCACACATGAGTAGTACCTCACCTTGTGAAGTAGCTGAAGAGCGCGTGCGTGTGCTTGAGGAACTGGAACTGTTCATTCCTGGCCTCTCGCTTAGCCAGCTCCGCCAGGAAGTTTCTCCCCCCCACAGCCGTAAACTGCGCCGTGAGCTGTATCGGCCAATCACACAACAGAAGAGCGTCAACCGGAGTCAGAAGACAGAAGGACAACCAAACGGGCAGGTAAGCCTTTGAACGTGTGCAGAATATTCACGTGTTGTGGGCTGGAGGGTCAAAGGCTACCGGAATGACTATGATATTTGGGTGCACAAATTCTCGACCGCAAGAAGAGCCGTGACAAAAGACCACACTGTAGTTAAGCTCCGTGAGAAATTTCCAACAAATTATCAAGAAGCGAGGACCGATTCAGACGGTGACGCATTGCACGAAAATACTCATCAACACGCGCGTAGTAATGGAACATATTCCTCATTCCTAGGCGCCTCGCTGCCGTCGCTACTTACCTTGATAAGGTCAACGTCGAGAGCGGTGAGACCCGTGGGGTGCCCCACGCTGAACTCGAAAGCCCTCGGTTCGGTGGCCTTGTTGAGGGACTTGACCGCCTTCGCAATGGGGGCCATCACCGCCTGGAAAAGATGCCGTTAGCCGGCACGACAGCAGCAGCACCGGTGTAGGCGAAAGGATACTATTTAATCAACATGATCTGCTGTATGTCACCAAGCATCGGCGTAGGGCGAAAGGGGGTGTTCAATCAACATGCTCTGCTGTATCAGGCACGATAGCATCATCGGTGCAGGGCGAAAGGGTGCTATTTTATCAACACACTCTGCTGTGCCAGACCCATCGCATGGCTGAAAGAACACGATCAAGCGGGCACACATGGGTGAACAACACACATGGAGGAGGAACGGAAAAGGTAGGGGTAAGCCCAAGGGTTGACACCCGGTTGCTCTGTAGCAGGAAAACAAACCGTAGTGAATCAAAACAAGAAAAAAAAAAAAAAACTACAGTAGTGCAGCAAAAGACTAAAGCGAGCATGGCAAAAAAATGCCAAAAGGTAATTATAGCCTAGCCCGGAGGTTCTCAGAGAAAGACTGCTGTAGGTCGTAAAAATGTTTCCACGGGGCAAGCGGACATTTCTCAAGATAGTTACCGCTATCTGGTCGTACCACAACATCTACTTTTGGGGGGCACACGGTTCTGTTGTAACACCGAAGACGGTGCGGCCAAAAATCGTTTGCATCTCTGGCCTAGATGGTCTATCTTTATAGCAAAAAAAGAGGAAAAATTGTTTGGGTCGTAGGAACAAGCCTCGCAATGCTACATGCCATGGGTATCGTCTACCGGTTCTGCTGTGACGGTGTATGTCAACGGTATGGCCGTCTGTGCGGCCTGGCCAAATAAGCCAACTGGGGCTGCTACAACAGAGTTAACCTCCGTACACTGTGACAGCAACAGGAAGTGCGGCTTCTTGGGGGCAAATTCGATCGCCTTTCAGCAGCAACAGCAGGGCATCGGTGAGGTAATGATGACGGGCGAGTTGCCTGATGGAGCACCAAAGCCCCGCTCAACATAAACCTACGGCTGCTCCCGCAGCGTTGGAAGAAGACCCGACAAGACCCAAAACAAAACCCGAATTCCACGAGAGAGGCGGCACCTGAATTACTGAATGCTACCCTCGGAGGCTACATTAAGCTATCGTACGGGCTGCAGAGAGGCAACGTAAAAGCGGCGATGAAAGCACCGGCAAGTGACCGTCGTCAGAACGAGCACATGACACTGCTGTTTCCTCTTCGTGTGTTAGGACAGCTTTACCGCCACGAAATATCGTGACTGAAACCGAGGTGCCCTGCTCAACAAACCGACTGACCTTGCGCGACACGGACGCCGGGGCGGCCTTCTTGTCCGACTTCCCAGCGGCACCAGCACCACTCCCGTCCTCGTCCCCGTCCGCGCCCCCCCCCTCACCATCCCCGGCCTCCGCAGTGGCTGCCGTTGCCGGAGCCTGTTGGGCAGTTATGTTTCGAAGGAGTGCCACGATAAAGATATATGCGACGTATGCATAGCAGGACTATTGGTGCTCAAGTTGTAGAATGTACCTGCGGGGGAAGAAACTAGGCCGTGCTCCGATTTCGATGCCCCTTACATGCCCTACGGTCTTGGTGCTGTCGCAATTTTTCAACCAAATACATATTTGTACCATACACCGTTTCAAAAGCGTTGGCGATTATGATCCATGGCTCTTGTTCTCGCAGCCTTGGGAGCAAGTCTAAACCAGGTCCGTGAGGCCCTCCCCGTTCTCTCCGAACACAAGACCGACAAACACCAAAAACGGCCACAAAAAAACGCCTCCTCTCTCACCGCCCTGGGTGCGTCTCCATTCTCCTCGAAGTCCCGGATCTTGAACTCGTAGTAGGCGTAGTACGGGTCGTGGGGGCGCATGAAGTTGAACTTGGCGCTCTTGCCCTCCTCGCTGGCCTGGATGCGCTCCTCGAAGCTCTTGCCGTTCTTCGCCACGAAGCGAGCCGTCTTGTCCACGATGGCCCGGATGTCGGGGGGAGGGTAAATAATCCCCTTCACCTGTACATGTACACCGCCATACGTATAGTAGTATTTCCTTTAGGAACGTTCTGCGAAAGGTTTCACCTTTGCTCGACTCTTCCATACAGAATACATCAGTATATGCGAGCTAGTGACACAAAAACTTCTGATCCTGCACGGAGCCTCCACATCCTCCAGTGGAGCAGCGTTGTTGGTAAGCTTCCCCGTATTTGTCACCATGGGGGTGAGCGTAAGCCATCGGGCAAATATCGTTGGGCTAGGGGAGGATAACGTTCTCACCCAAAGGGTACGCCACTCGGGATCATGCTTCAAACATACCAGTAATAGCGCATCTCTCTCAAAAGCCCTAGGAAAAATTGTGAACGAGGTTAAAAATAACACTAATAAATAAAAAATCCGAATGCAAGTCAAGTTGTCCGCTCCCTCTTGGCGAAATGGTAGAGAACGCGGGGACTTTCAGTCGGTATCGCTGACAAAGACATGGAGGTCTGTTTGAACCTGGCGGGCTATTTTCCAGAACTTTTTACTCCTCCAGAATATTTGAAAATGATAATGATTGTTGATTCAGCCGTCATGGGTCCTTAGCAGATGGCATATGGCCAAACTACCGGACCACACTAACCACACTGGAAACAACGATACTGCATCAGATTCCTGTGAAAGGGGCCACCGGAACGACGTACAAACGACGTACAACGTGGATGCCGACTGAACCCCGTCGGTAAATCACGGCGTGAAACAAGAGTGCTACAATACAGTCGTAGCTGGCCCGATAGTGGCAACTCGAATAGTGTAACGGCCGATAAAGTGGCATCAAAATCTCTTGCCACATTCTCAACATATACATGAACCCAGTGTATCCAATAGTGGCACTGCCCTGAATAGTGGCATACTCTTCTGTTGCCCCTACATGCCACTATATCGGCACACCAACTGTTATTACTGCTGTACGGACCGGCTGCCTACTACTTACTTCCAAGCAACGACACTGAGCGGTACTATGGCCGCGAAAAAAGAGAGTGCCAGCACCCTCAAGCGAATTTTACTTTGAGTGTCGTTGAGAGCGGGAGAGGAAGAGCAGGCTGGGCGGTGGGGTAGCCCAAAGGAGGGGCGAACCGACGAACCGAAGGCCAAGATATGCGAGGCAATCCGAAGAAATGCGGCGTAATCCCAACAACGCGCGCGCTGCGTCACCTCCAACTTTGGAAGCTGGGAAATCTTTACATCGTAGAGTCGGCGGCAGTGCATGGCCAAGTCTTGCAAGACTGTACCCACTCAGAAGCTTCGCGCGGAGCCACTACCTCTAACCCAGATTCACCCCCCTTCAAAATCACACCGCCGGCGTTCAATGATACTTCAGCATTAGAAGCTGGCGGTCGACTGCTGTTTAAAAAAAAAACGAGACGTTTTTCGGTACCAACCTTTCCCTGATATGGCTGCTCCACCCCGCCATTGCTGCTGTCCCCACCCCCTTCCGCCGCCGCCTCCCCATTTCCCTCGGCCACGGCACCGGAATCTCCGTTGGAGACGGCAGCAGTGGCGGCGCTTGGTGGCGGCATCTCCGCTAGCGGCGTCTCAACCTCCATCGCAGCAATCTAAAACGCCTCCGCCTGCTGCTGGTGGAGCTTTTCCGGCAACAGGCTAATAACGGCTCGCTCTCTCTTCTGTGCCACGGCAGATAGATGTGGATATGGGCCTTCGTTCCTTGCTTCAGCACCAAGAGAGTTGCGCACTCTGGTCTTGTTGTCGTAGTTGGCCCAAAAAAACAGGGTCACGACGGTTGGGACTACACCAGTCAGTCAGTGTTTGGGGGGGGGACGAGCATATTGTGTGATTGCGCAGGAGCCCTGCTGGGGGTGCATCGGCTGTCGATGGTGGAATCGATTGTTTCAAGGGTGTGCGTGGAGGCACCGACACACACCACGACGCCCACGAAAAAGAACTCCCCCCGGCGAGAGTCGGAAATACCATGAGTGCAACAACACAACGATGAGAAGGGGGTCGGCGCAAGACCGGGGTGAAGGGTAGCCCCGCGTTATCTTGTGCACAAAGTCTGCGGGAACGATTGCGATTCGGTCCCTCGCCAGCCCTAAAAGTTATACGAAGGTGCACCAACAAGACGTATAGCACATGAGGGCTGTGCTTGATGCCACGGGAGCAAAAACAGCGCACCTGCTACCCGTTGGCACCAAAGTGGAGAGCCAAACCTACCAGCTCGTGTGGGATGGGTATTCGAAGATTGATGGGTATTATGCCCTTCTTGGATCCGTGTTGGTGTAAGGGAATCTGCACTTTTCGAATCACAACACTGCATCAAACAAAACGAGGGACTTCTACATACCAGGGCACCCACCGCTCTCACCGAACAGGCCTTGTGCGCGGGCGTTTTGTGTGCGTGTGTGTGACAGAGCTGGCTGGTTCGCCTCGCGCGCGCTCTGGTAAAGCCCCCCTATCCCCTGTGAAAGATGATACACGGGGCTCCGTCTGCCTCGCCGTCCGTTCATCGCATGCAGTCGTACATGCACAGCGATCCAGCTCTCTCCACGCCCCCAACGCAACGCCAGTAGGTCAACAGAAGATGTTGCCGTCTTACTTCATGACGACTGCAGCCGCGTTGTGCGCGCTGCTCCCCGAGGTTACGGGTTTCCTGGCACCGAGTGCATTCATGGGATCCAACACGGCACCAACAGCAGCAGCACGGGCTGCTGCCGCCTCAAGCAGCCGAGTTCCCGCGCTTAGGATGGCAGAGGAGGCCGCTGCCGGGGAAGGCGAGGAAGCACCGGCGCCGACTGCGTCCGACATCAGCAAGGGCATCGCCCACCCGGAGGCCATCTTCACGGTGCCCGAGAACATCCTCAAGGTGCTGCCGCACCGGTACCCGTTCGCCCTTGTGGACAAGGTCTTGCACTTCGTTCCCGGCAAGAGCATCATCGGCATCAAGTGCATCACCAACAACGAGCCCCAGTTCACCGGCCACTTCCCGGACCTGCCCATCATGCCGGGAGTCCTGCAGGTGCGCGGTGGTTGGGTTCGTGCAACGAGAGTGCAACCTGCTCGGCTCACGTGTGTATGTGTATTGCATGTAGCAGTACTGCTGTAGGCTACGGTTGATGTTCCGCCCTCTCTCGTCTGTGCATGTGTGCATCTGTGCATGCACCGAAGACACGCTACATGTATTAGGGCCAAGCCGGACGATTCGCAACTTCAAAACGGTGACAGCAATTTTTTGCCGACCCCCCGCTCATAAAAAACAATGATAGAAAACATCCTCACACATCGAGGAAGTTTTTTAACTACTGCTGTAGCAACAAAGCATCAAAGCAAGAAAATGAGCCCAGCCGCACCTACACTCCCTCCGACAGAAGTAGACTATTACTTCGGTGACAGCTTGCATACCTTGATAGCCTGTGCCCAATCGTTGAAACACTGTTGCAACGCTTTTTGCGAGGCTTCGAGCCTTGATCAAGGTTAGTGTTTCTTACGAGCAAGAGCCGGCAGTACAGCTGTCTTCCATGCAGGGGTCTGTTCTGTGTTTATCCTGTAGTTACGCCTTGTGTTTCCTCGCCGAAATGAACCTCCTGTGCTGTTTGCATCTAGCCCTCCGCAGCTTGTCTGAACATGAGCAATAACAACTGTCTCCCAAACAACCTTCTTTTCTCTTTCCCTCTCCATCGCACTATTTCGCCAAATACTGCTGTAAGGTTGAGGCCATGGCGCAGCTCGGGGGGTTGATTTGCCTCCAGGAGCCGTGCAGCGATGGTCAAGGAACGTTCTTTTTCGCGGGTGTGGATGGGGTGAGTCTACTCTACTCACGGCTGGCTGTGGTGGCACCCAGCTGGGCTAAAAGCATCCTGGCTTTAGCTAGCACCCCCTCATGCCTTCGTGAGAGTTTTTGCTTGTTTGTCTGTTCGGCCGTGATGCCGTGATATCGGTGAGGAACGAAATAGCAACGATGGAGTTGGCATGGCTGGTTTGTTGTACGATAAGAGTGCAACAACGTAAAGTCTATGCAGCGCGGAGTGCTGAATAATCATCGGAGCATTGTAGCGTTGGATTGTGTGTATACTCATCAAGGCCTATGTGTCTCTTCTGAGTCGCCAACGGTAATCGCCAACGGTAATCTACGTACCGTATGTTGCATAAGATATCACACCCCCTGGCCCGATTTTCAAAGGTCCATTACTCGGCAGGAAAAAGCAGTGACGGTGCCGAAAATGGCGACGTTGGAACCGTCTCTTCGAGAGCTTTCCGAGAGCGTATCCTTTGATTTCAGCATCCTCGTCGTCGTGGAGTAATGGAGCTTTAAAGATGGTTCCCGGGGGTGTGGTATCTTATGCAACATTCGGTAGATGCGGCCGGGGCTCCAAGCCAAGCGTTCTGTGGACAAACTCTTTAATTGGGGGTCGCTGCCTGCGGCGTAAGGCATGAGGGACGAGACACAGAAAATTGAAAACGTTTGGCTGGAACCGGCAGGCTTTCGCAGCGATGCACATACAAGGCCTCCTGTTTTCTGTGCAAAATGCTGGAAAAGGGGCAGTGTCTGAAAAGTACACCACTTTGCCCTCCATTCCAACGAAATTATCACGCTCGGTGTTTTTATCACAAATCACTGCCGACCCACTCTTTGCAAACATCGATTTGACCGACTTTCACATCACATCCGTCGCACTCAAGGTAAAATGGCGCAAGCCCGTGGTGCCGGGAGACGTCCTCGTCATGGAGATGGAGCTGGTCAAGTGGAAGCCTAGGTTTGGTCTGGCGAAGATGACCGGGAAGGCCTACGTCGACGGAGTGCTTGCACTAGACGTGAAAGAGTTTACCTTCGCCTTGGCAAAGTCGTAGATAGATATATAGTATGTACTCGTAGAACAGCTCTTGGTTTGTTTTTGGGTGGGCGGGGCGTCAGAAGGGGGCGCGCTGCTATAGCGCCCTCGGCCTTCCTGGGTTGTTACACACGAGTAGTGAAGTCGAGATTTTCGTAGGGTGTGTTTGTTGAGTCGTGCTTCGAAGCGATTTTTGCAGTCCAACGTCGTCTTACAGATTTTTAAGGTGCACATGCGTATGATATAGGAAGGCCTGATAGAGGAAGGCCAAGATATTGCCACACATTGGCTTCTTGTACGGTCGATCTGGCTGTCGGCTATGTTTGTCGTGTGGTCTTTGCTTTCGCCGCCTTAGATGGATGTCGCTCGTTCGCTGGCTGTAGTGCCGGGCGAATGGGTTTGAGTTCTAAACCCAGCAGCAAAAGAAACACTTTCAGTGGGGGGAGGGCTACGATGTTGTTGTTGCTCTCACCACTAGCGACAGGGTTGAAACAGTTACCAAACCGGTGGTGCCCTAAACAAACATGTACACCAGCCAGCGCAAATTCTGTGGGGAACCTGTGGCATCAACGTCTACACCCCCATAGTGCTGCAGCGCGTACGCATGTACGCACACCGTGCTTGGAGCAGGAGAAGACTCATCTTGGCACACCATCACAATGTACCGAACAACCTTCTGTGTAGGTCGAAGTTTGCATCATCTCCATAGATCGGAAACATCGCACTGTTGGCGCTCTTACTCAAAGTGTAAGTAAGCCTACAAATCTCCTCAAACTCTCCCAGTACAAGCATGAACACGACTCGGCATTCCCTCAGCTAATTATTACTACGTAGAGCGGAACGGGCATAATGCGTGTGACCCCTCCCCCTGGACACTTGGGACACAGGGTACTTTAAGGCTGGTACCGGTACTACGCTTGCACTACAAACATTCTACAATCGTACATCTACAAGTTCACCCGGTTTCAACAAGGGGCTGTGCTAACACGTCGAAGGATGGGGAGCTTGTGTTGGGCTACAAAACAGCACGAAAGGAGCATCTTCCCTTCCCTGCTCCCAACAGAAGCATCTCCTACGTACATGTGGGGTAAGGCATCACAGGACGTAAGTCATCCCTCCTCATTGGCGCTTGCGGGCGCGTGTGTTATGGCGGAGGGGACAAGTGCACTTTCCGAAAACCTACAAGTACCGAATACGACGTATACCATTGATTCGTACCCAACGCTTTCGTCGTCAGGGGTCGTGCACCAAACGACCCGATTAGCGCTTGATTGAGTGGAGGCAGAAAGTAAAAAAAGTTCCCACCTCCCCAACGTCCATCAAGGGCGATTCCCTCTTTTCACATGAGCGTTATCGCCAAAGCGATGTGGTCTGATTGTGGTGAAAGCCAAAGAAGGCTAACAAAAATGGGGGCAGGTAATGTGCAGGTGGCCGTTAAAAAGGTCCCATCTCCTCAAAGTCTGTCGAGGATGTTGACTCTTTCCACACTTGCTTGTGAGAGACGAAAGTTCAAGTTGACCGAAAGGCCGGCTTCTTTTTCCGCGTTCTGAGATCATTCGTCCAAGAACAGAGTTGACCGATCGACTACAGTACACCAATTCAAAAAAGAGGGATCAACACACCTCAGGACCCGATAGGTAAAGAAACGAATAGGGGGCACACACAGCGCGCACTCACACGGCTCGTGGGAATACGGAACACACAGACTGCAACCACGCCACCACCGCTTCCGAAAGCACCGGGTGTACAGGGGTACAAATGGCCCCCGCCGATTTGATACATCCAAAACCAAACAACGGGCACGCGTTTGTTGTGGGCAACGCAAGGAACACACCAACTATTATAGCTGTATTCACGGGTATTGCACCGTGAATCCGTAGAAAAACCATCAAACCGATACTGCACGCGTGAGCGGTGAACAAACACTAAGGAACAGAGGGGCCACCCCTCTCCTACTCCTAAGGAATAGAGCAGCGTCTGTAGCAATGCAGAAGGGGAAAAACATACGCACCCACACACCCCATCAGAAAATACGAAACTACCATATACATAAAAAAGTGAAAGCCGTGGATGGATAAAATCTAGATCACCCGTCAGTCGATGCCGCCGAGCTCGGCACACAGACGACGCCCCAAACGAACGTCACTTGAACAACCAGAGGGAACAAGAGCAAGCGACGCAGGTCTTGCATACTAAAGATAACCGGCCCCGCCGTGTACCAAGTTATCGGGTGCCCACCTTTACCGACCCATCGGGGTCCCCACCAGACACATCCCTCGCGTCCCCAGTGCGGCGAAGGGTATCCTTGTGATGTCATTCATCGACTCACGCAATACACCGCCACGTCAGCATGAACTCTTCTCCGTCAGCGCGTACGCTATTGCCATTCATAATCAACCACGGTTCCTTTCCGCCTCAACTTCCCGTGGCGCGGGGACCGCTTTGCACCCCTGTTCACTTCGACAAAAAACGATGTACCGGACCCGAAACGACTTTTCAGAAAAACTCTTGCCTATCGCGCATGCGATGCAAGACAAGCGGTGGCGTAACCTTTGGATATCGGACACGCCAACACAACCCTCCGGGTCACGGCCGCCACAGTAAAACCAACTAACCAATCAGCATTTCTCCTCTGCGTCCTTCGTTTCGGGAACGCTCTCCTTCTCCTCCTGAGCTCCGGCGCCCGACGCCCAGTACCTCACCCCTTCGAAGGACGCGCACCACGGTTTTCCCTCCGAGAACCGCAGACCATTCCACCACGACAAGAACGGTGTCTCGAGAGCGTGGAGGTGGAGGTGGTCTGGTGGTGGTGGTGGTGGTGGGGTCGGCGAAACAACAGCGGGGAAGTGGCAGACGAACGAAGTTGAACGGGCGTGTCACTTGTCGTTCGTGTAACGTTTGGGCTGTTGGTCAAAAGCCTACCGCTGGACATTGGGAAAACCATGTGGCAAGGGTTCATCTCTGGGGCATCGGGTCGGGGACCCCGACTGTTCGTGACCGAACGGTGCCCGCTTCCACCCTAAAAGGTACAATAGCGCCTGGAATACACTCTGTCGAAGCTGTGGTGTTACGACGTTTCAGGGGCATAGCTGGAACGTTCGGAAGCCTAGCGCTACTGCTGAGTGTGTTAGAGCATTCTTCGGTACGCTTTGGGAGCTCGGCATTCACTCGAATCATGAGCGAGTGTCATTATAGCGGAGAAAGACCGACGGGAAAGGAAAACGTTTTTGTTGGTGCAACAACCACATCCGACACACAAAATGTAGCAGTGCTTAGTCGCTTGGAGCGCGCCAGACACTTCCTTTGTGAAGTTTGTGGGTGATCCTGTCGAGGTTTACGTCGGCACATTGTCCCGGGTTTCCAAAAAAAGCGCAAAGAAAACAGTTTTGGGGGAGCAATGTAATCCTGCTATTCCGCCGCACCTTTTGGCGCCCTTCTGTCAAACCGGTACACGCCTGTTTTTTCGACAGGTAGCATTGGGTTTGACTATTCAACGTTCCCACGTTTGTGGGGACTGGTCGTTGATGGCTCTGGCTCTTCACACACGAACGGCGGCGGACGGCGGACACACACTCGTCCTTAACCACCAACAATCACACCACCTGGCAAACACAATCAAGCTAGATATAGCACACGTTGGGGGTTTAACAGTAACGGCGTGTCGCCTGCCGCTTGTTCCGAGTGATGGAAGGGTTTGGTGCATCCACCCATTCTCTCTCTCTCTCTCTCTCTCTCTCTCTCTCTCTCTCTCTCTCTAGTCTGCTGCCTCTGCTATTTTCTGATGTGTACTAGGGTATCACTTGTTGCCCGCACGCAGCACACGTTGGTGTAGATGGGTGTTGGTCTGCCCTTGGCAACCAACCATTCGGACAGAGATGAAATTATTTCGTTTCTGCAAAAGGAAAAAACACCTTTTCCTCGAAAGCGATGTTTGCCGTTGACTCTGCTGGTTTCGAGACCAGTCAGCGCATTTCTTGCTGGTGGGACCCGCAAACAACCGCCAGCATGCGCCAGCATGCGCCGGGTTAGATCGTGCATGCATACATGCGATTCGAAGGATTCGCGGTCGGGTGTGGGGAGTGACTTCCAGAAATGGGATTAACATGCTGAGTGCGTTGTTCTCGAAGCGAATGTGCAGCACACCACACGACCAGACCTACAGATCGGTGTAGGTATGTTCATTAGTCTAACGGCCGTCATTGTGCGGGCCGGGGCACCAAGCAACGCGCTGGTTTCCGCCCCTCGCGTCGTCAAAAGAGAAAGACGGGCATGATAAAATTCGATTTTGTCGATTGCCGCACAGGCAGGGGTCGATACTGTCACACCGCATGCGATAACAAGGGCCTACCACCAAGATTAGCAACGCTGTGCACACTTGTTGCCCTGGCCCGCACAGCGGTGGCACGGACGGGATGTACAAGCAAGAGGCGGTAAAACTTGGTTCATGTCATCTCTGCCATTGCAAAAAATTCCCAGGCATGGTGTCTCGCCTACCTACAAGACCCCAATTCATGCAACCTGCGTCTACTCGCACGAACACCCGCAACGCACCAAAGCGAAGGAACATGGGACACCCGATACGTTGCAGTTGTGCTGGGCAGGTCCCCATTTGTGTGTGACCGCAGTGCACCATTTCCCCTTCTTCATGTCGGGGCAACAAACTGCTGCTGCTGCTGTTTCACTTTGCCGAAAAAGGAAAAGAAAGGAACTTCTAGTCACTTTGGGCCCGCCCGTCACGCGAAAGCAACACTTACCAACGCTATTCCACGGGGGTATGTGGAAGCTGAGCTGAGTTTGCGAGGCGTCGCACTTGAGCAGCTTCACCGCGACCTCCTTCATCCTGTCCAGCAGTGGTGTGTCGGTCTCGACCAAATCCCCAACGGTCGAGATGTGCCTCTTGGGGACCACGAGAATGTGTTGCTTAGCCGCCGGCTTCAACGGGCTGAACGCGATCACGAGGTCGTCTTCGTACAGGAGCTCCTTCTCCTTGGTGTGGTTTGCGAAGTCGCAGAACAGGCAGCTCTGCATCTCTCCTCTCGCGTTCCACACGACCCCCTTGCTGACGATGTCATCATCGGGCCTCTGTTTCCTGGTCAACCACTCGGACAGCTTCCCCATCCCTGCGAGAGTTCCAATCACTCCTGTTGCCTGTAGGTTCAGGTGCATGCACGGTGAGAGCGCTGTGGACTGACTCCCTCTCTTCGCTTGCTGCTCTGTCTGGTGTGGTGTGCTGGGTTGAGGGCAAGGTTGAATTGTTTGGTATGGGCAGGTACAGAAGTAGGGCAGCAGCGGCAAGGGCAGGTACTCCGCTCTCTTTTTGGCGGGAACGAGATTCCGCCGCATCCTTTGATTGATCCACGGTGCCCCCCAAGTTGCATGCAACTGGAATGTGGAATGTTATGTCACGCTGCTGGCGATGGTGCACCATCGTTTGTCGTGGTAGAATGGGCGTGGGTGCATGCTAGCATACAACAGCTGGTTCTACAATCCAACAGACAATCCCCGACATCTCTGTGGCATATTGTTCGCTGTGCTTAAATTCTTGCTTGCAGAGAAGCGCCGGTGATGTTTCGGCAAGCGGTGAAATTGGCCTGCCACACCTGGTTCGGGGCGTGCTTGACGTGGGGGCTCATCATCGATTGGGCTGGATGCGTGGTCATCACCACGATCTTGCCAGACGGCCAGGCCCAGAGGAGGTGTTGCCAGTGGAGTCATTACGTGTTTCGGTACTTCATGCTCAGCTCCTGCCCCTGGATCCGCGTGTCTCGGCCACCAGTGGAGGAAGTCACGAGGCTGCTCCACCGCGACAGGGTGTGCGTGTTGATGAACCACACGAGCTTCGGCGACAGTATCATGTTCGTCGCCACTACTCCCTCCAACATCATCTGGCGCTACCGGACCCTGATGAAGAGCACCCTGTTTGATGTGAGAGGACAAGTTGAAGAGAACGCGGAGGCGTCGCACAGATTGGATTTTCCCCTGTTTGTAGATGTACGGCGTAATACTTGTATTGTAAGCTTTCGAAACCGCACATAATCTCGCCTACATTCAAGATATCACGTTGTACCATTACCATTGTTGCAGAAACGCTGTAGATGTGCCGTATCTTTACATAAGATTGATGCACAGGCTGCATCCTTCCATTGACTAGGTCAGAGCTCACTGCTGAACGAAGTGGGAACTGGTCGGTCCAAGAGAGGTACTATTTAGTAACCCCTCAAGTTCCTTGGCAGTCCGGGGTGCCGCGTGCGAGTCTGAGAGACGATACACCGCATCCTCTTTCCCCAGATACTGTAGCCGTGCCAGGGGTGGCTTGTGTCGGCATTCGAGGGTGCTTCGGAGAGGCTGCCCTCATTGCCCAGTTGTCACCATCTCCCTCTGTCAGCGCCCGCGCTGTGTAGTTTGAACGCAACCTGTGTCATTCTGCACATGATCGATATCGCTACCTAATTCCGTTGGCCCCGGTGTAACTTCTTCTGCATGGACATGTTACAGGTCCGTACGTCTTCTACATGTACTTCTAACCATCGAACTAAATGAATACTGCTTCCAATCACCTATTTGTTACTCCCGCCCTCGCCACACCAATTGCCTTCTTGTGCGCAACCCAGTGGCCCTTTCTGGGTGGTGTCTGTAGAATGGTGGGACACTTTCCCGTTCTCTTCCGAAGCAAGGACGAGAATTCGTTCGCCGTGGACAAGCCGGAGCAAGCGAAGATCATGGAGAAGGTGAACTCGTTTTTTTGTGCTACGCTTGCTTGCGTTCGTCGTATTTACACGTGTGCACTTCAAAGGACAGGAGTAGAGCTGCTGCTTGAGAGTGTCCTACTGGGTTGTGCCCAGACACGAAAACATTGAACATGCTGCCTGTAGTTCGCATACACGTACTAAGAATTTACTTCATTTTTTGCTGCCATCGCCGCGATTTTGCGTAAGATGCGAAAGTAGGCCGCAGTACCGCACTCGAGTGCCCTCCTCGAAGCTCCAACCAGTGCAGCCCCGCCTATCCCCCAGGTGAAAGCACACGTCGAGTCAGACGGGTGCCTGTGCCTGTTCCCCGAGGGCAAAATCAACCGCAACCCTGCAGTCCTCTGCCCCTTCCGAAGGGGCACGTTCGGGGTGGCGGAAGAGATGAACATGGCCGTGGTGAGCCTCACGACGGTCGGGTGCGACGAGTCTTGGCCCAGAGAGTCCCCGGTTGGGGGCCTGCCGGCCAGGATAGTGATAAGGCTGACCGAGATCGCCGAGGCGGGCCATGGGCTGACGGCGGCGGCGCTGCAGGAGAAGGCCGAGGCATCCATGCAGGCGGACGTTACGTCTTTGCTTCAGGAGAGGGACGCTTGATGTTGCGGGTTGTTGGGAGGTTTTTGGTACAGGAGAGGACGTTTCGTAGTTGAGGGATTGTTGGGACAGGGAGGGGCGGGAGAGTGAGAGATACCTCTGCGTGTGCCTCATTACTGCCTCACGGCTTGTGTGGTAGAGCTGCATGAGGTGCGAATCATGTTGGGGATTTGATGTGTATCACGTGTGACTATTAGACTATATTACTTTGTTCGGGGGGCTAGGGGCAGCTCATGGAACAGTGTAGAATCAGGATCTAGAAGTAGGAAGCCTGGACGTGAAACCACAGGTGCTTGGCCGCGAGAACCTCCACACGATACCATTGTGCTCTGTGTGGACTCATCGCAACAATTTTGAGTGATGCGCCTGAGCTTGTCATGACTTCGTTTGCCCAAGAAAATAGTGTGGTTATCAACGTGCGTTTATGGGTCACCATGTTTTTTTGTTCGCCTTATTGGTTTGTTCCTTTGGGAGTGAAGCGGGGTGGCTCCGGCAACGTGTGCTTTGAACGAGCGCGGCCGGCGCGCCAGAGCGTGCGCCTCTGCCCCCTTCGTGCCCCCTTGTGCACATCTAGCCCCACTCTACGTGTGCCCTTAAGACACACTCTTGCTGTCAGCGGGGCTTTTCTTGGGCCACCACTTTTACTTGAATAGCGGTTTTGCGCACGAGGCGTTCTCCTCGTACAACAGCACACGGGCTAGTTGTGTTTTCTCAGAAACATTCGGATAGGTCTCGTGACCGAGAGAGGCAGCGTTCGGTGGTCTTTTTCGGTCGGTCTCTTCCTGGGCGTCTGCAGACACCCGCTCCGCACCCGGGCCATACCCACACCGTGCACACTTGCTGCTTAGAAGTAGATTTCTGATATGGATTTCTATGTCTTCGTCTGGGCCGCATTGTCCGGTGATGTATCGCTCTAAGGACATCATCGTTGCGAGAGCTGAACTGATTGCTGGCAACGTATTGGCGAGGCGCTTCTTGCTCCACAGCAACACTACCTATGGTGTGATGAGTTATTGCATAGTGCCCTTGAGCGGCGTCACCCTTCCGTTCTTGGCCGGAAATCCCTTCCCCGTGCAGGTGTATCTATCTGCTGCGCGATGTGTTTACTTTTTTAGACGTCAAAAACCGCACAACAGTTCCCTCGAGTCTGTTCACAGCGCATGTGTCCCGCGCTGCCATCAATAGTTGTTTTGATACGTACCTTCCCCGTACATTTTCTCAATGTACACCACTGCTGTAAATGTTGTCGAAGGCACGCGTTCTAGCTCCCCCTCGAATCTCATCATCTCCGGTGACGAAATGATGTATTGTTGACCACCACTTGCCATGAACGGCCCACGTCGAAACGTTTATTTGGCGTCTGCTGACCAATCAGAATTGGCCGATAGGGAGACTGCGGGCATGCAGTTGCAGTTGTCCATGAGGCAGGAAGCAAGATTCCTGCGTTTCCGAGGATCTGAACTCAAGGATAAAATCATTCCGTGCGATCTAAACACATCACAGGCAGGCGTTGTTTATCTTGGAAAAAAGTCCATAACAACGGCGAAAGATAAAGGCTGAGATTTTTGCGCCACCGCCGCGCGAATGGGTCCGCGAAAGATGACCCAGGCAGAAGACTTGGGCTCCAGCCTAATAAATCGCCAACCGAAAGCAGGATCAGACAATAATCGCCCATATTAATGCCGTGAATCTCCCACACATTCAGTATATGTATGCTTCTATCCAACAAACCCAAACCAACGGCAAACAAACACCCAGATGATATAGCTAAGGAATCCAGACAAGAGCGTCGACGATTTGTTGCCAATAGACTACCTTTTTTTTTTTGCTGTAAAAACACATAATACCAACAACATCCGGCACGGCCTTCTTCCTGGCGCTTCTTGACATACAACGTGGCTGGCCACATACATACATACATACAACGAGTGGCTGGCGGCCGTTTGCGCGATTGTGCAAGAAGAGAACGCATTCCTAGCTGTGGACTACCTTGCACTACGTACGATATTGTTCCAGCAATGTAGTGAGGCGCGAGATACTAGTACGTAGAAGTAGGTTACGGGCTGCCGTTCCCTACATATCTAAAAGTGCACCCAAAGTGGTTGACTGGCATGAAGCTGCAATCAATCATTCCAACATGTTGGATCCTTGGATCCTGAAGGCTGACTGAGCCTCATCCTCCTGCTCTATCTTCTGCGCTGCCCACGCCAAGTGCTCAGAAAAAAGCTCCCTCCTCTCTCCTCTCCTCCTCTCCCCTGCTCACCTATCTTATGCCCCCCCCCCCTCTCTCCCTATCTCCCTCCAACTTACACTTCGAAAAGCAGAAGTATCACCTTGAGGAGGCGTTTTGCCCCCGGGGACGCTTACGACACTCCTGCATTTTCCCGCGTTGCCATTCTCCTTCTTGTGTCGCTCTCTCACACACTGCTGCTGCAGACGTACAGCCGGTAACCATGGCAGGCAGCAGGCGAATACACCATGCGGCCGAACGAGAAGTACGGAGCGGCAGCATCGTTCCTTTTGCTAGCCGGAAACTGCTAGTTTCCTTGTTCCTCAGGCTGTGCTTGAGGACTAGCAGAGCGGCCGGCTGCTATCGACTTGTTGCAGGTTTGTCGACAGCAGTTATGCTCGTTCCGTAGTAGCCAACTACTCGCTTCTCACTCTGCTCACGCGTGCACCTTCGTGTCTACTGGTAGTACTGTTATTCGGCTGCTGTGCACGACATCATGATATGAATATACGCGGGCATTCACACGATGCGGGCATTCACACGATACCACAGAGCACGCGCGACTTGCAGTGAAGTACTTGAAATTCGTCTGTGCTGAGTGTGCATTCGATTATTTCTGTCCTGGTTGTCAGCGAGAATAAGTTGGCACGTCACGATAGTCTGTTGGTTGCAACCAGGAGCACATGTGCTACCCGCGGATCTCTGGGCAATATCTAATCGCTGGTTGGTGTTGCGAATTTGGGAGATAGCCGGCGGTCCTCGCTCATCGGCAGGCAGCCAAGAGCAACAAGTTGTACGTCGTCTACTAGACTGCTGTAGCGAGACTGCTGTAGAGGTTGATGTTCGAAGTAGAGCGTGTTTTTGGGCTCATCCGCCCCGTACTTTTCAGGCTGGCCGAAGCGCTGGTCGATGCCCATATGGGCAGCGAGCTTTTCCTTTCCGTCATTCTGCGATGACCAGCACAGCAGTATTTAGCTGCGGTCGTCGCCATCCCTGTGTCTATTTTTGCAGTAATGCTTCTGCGGGTGCTCCGTCTCGTTCGACGTGGACTATGGAAGCCCTCTACTCTGGCTGAGCAGAGAGTCCGGGAGTGTGGTGGCTATGTCCTGCCACCGGAGGTTGGCTATTTCCTTTGGTGCAATATGGCGAGGAATGCCAAGCGTGACCGAGCGAACTCAGTCAAGCTAGGGTGGCGAGGAGAGTGGGCGAGCCTTCGTGGACCCTTTTCCCATTCTCCTAAAGATTCATCAACTCTTCGCAGCCGTTGGGAATCGTAAGAGTCATAGACCCTCGAAGAACGGTAATCTATTATCACATTGTTGAAAGCAAGCCGACGAATATCGTCGGCGTTGCTAGTCCCAAGCTTTAATATTTTTATTTTAGTCGCGTGTTGCGCGTGTGCTGACACCACGAACGGGAAGGACCTTAATTAGCCGACACACTACGCAATAATGGTCGTGATGGACGCGGGTACGCAATAAAAAAACAACACATACATCCGATCCTCGGGAATCACGAAATGCAACGTCTACATACACACGGTAGGCACTCTGTCTGTCCCTTTAACACGGTACGTACTGCTTTTGCCTACCACTCACTCTCGTCCTCTCGTCCGCATCAACAACAAACAATGCAACTTGCCGCACAACAAGAGCCATCCCTGCAGGAAAAGCTGTACAAACAAGCAAAAAGCAGCTCCTGCTGCGGTAAGCTGCTGCTGTATGTACCATTTTTCAGCACGCACGAACAACAGATACAGCACAGGCGAAAGAGCTGAGTCTGCCTGTCTGTGTCTGCGTCGGCGTGAGTAGGGGTGGGTGTGAGGTATCGATAGAGTAACGACAGGATGTTTTTTTATGTTTATTCTTCTTAATATGACACAACGAATCCATCTCCATCATAGAAAAGAGTCTGAGACAGATTAGCAATGAATTCATTGTGTATGGCATCTCGACGAGTATCGTCGCGTTGCCTGTCTGAAGCTTTCGATTTTTGCAGCGAATAACAATCAAGGTAGACACCAAGAAGATGCCCGATGAGCACACAGGAACCGGGGGACCCCAAAAAACAAAAGCATGAAAAACAAAAGAAAGAAAGAAGCGAGAACAAACGAGTCAGACGCGACAGGCTTCAGGGAGGAGGCAAAAGAGCGCATAGAAGAAAAGCACCGTCGCCGCTCGCTCCGGACCGCTGGAAACTCTCACATAGCACTACATATGGAGCAAATATTAGGTAGGGCCCAAGTCCATTGCTTGGCATAACGCCCATCGCTTCACATGCAGCAGCCGGATGCACGGGTAGCCTCTTACTCAGCAAAAAGCGAAACGACTGCGGTTGGTTGACGTTCGATGTTGTTGGGACCCTACCGGCGAAAGGCGAGAGAGAGAGAAAGAGAGGTAGACAAAAATACGAGAGCGGAGAGAAGACAAGGCATTGACTCTCTCGAGAAGAGAAGGCATTGACTCTCTCGAGAAGAGAAGGCATTGACTCTCTCGAGAAGACACTCACTCTCGTCCCTCTGGCCCGCCGCAGGCTGTCAGACATGATGTCACGTTGTGTATCGAACGGCGATATCCGATGTCGGCTCAGCAACAGCAAACAAGCACAACAACAAACAAATATAATAGTCAGTCGCCGTGTGCGAGCTGTGGACTACTATCTTGTTGTAGGAAGTGAGAACTAAAAAGAGCACGACTACATAGCACCACGGACGAACTATTATCGCAATACGCTTGCCGTCCGCCATAGATGCGCACCGCTGCACGAACGAGCTGTTGGTTATCATACCTCACTACGTAGTATCTAAGATTGTGCTGCCATCTAGCTTACCTATCGCTCAAATTACGACTACGCAGCAGACTCAAGGCAAGGAAGCAACACGCGTGCCGATTGCATACCAACCATGCATGCAGCAAAACAAAACAAGGCGGACCGTCTGTTGTTGTTTGTCTCTTCAACTGACTGTGCTGCCGACAACGACACTGGAAAAAAGTAGGAGACGCGCATCGCCTACGCGAGCAACGCGTGCAGCCCAAAAAAACAGAGACGATAACCTTACGACCTTTCTTTTCAGCACATTCCGAGCATATACTGCAGCAACCGCAAGTATGTGTACAGCAGCAGCCGCATGTTGTGTACAACAACGGTCACTCAGGAAGAAAATCACAACAACAAACAAACGCAAAAAAAAAAAGGTGGTGGCGCGCAGCACGCAGGACCCTCTTTCGCTTTGAACCGGCCATTCCCATGGCGAAACAGACAAGGTACAGCAGTGAAGGCCGACTCTTGCCGGCCCCAGGAGGCGGAAGCTGCTACAACTCGGGGACGGGTCATGATTTGCGATTGATTCCTCACCGAACGGATATCGAACGATGACACTACTGTTTCAACTAGCTTCAGAAAAGCTTCAAAATTAATTGTGAAACTTGCATAGAGATGGCAAGTAAACACCCCGTTCCAAAGAATATCTGTCGTTGATTTTTATTGACTTGCGGACCTTTCGGGGCCAGTTTGTTTTAGCGTACCTCTTTAGGGTAAGTTAGCCTGTGACCACGGGAATCGACCGCGTCAAGTGTTGGATCAGTACGCACATATGAAGGTACTGGGTAGAGAGAGATCTGAACGGTTTTTAATGCGAAGACAACAACAACAACAACAACAACAACATTTAAAACTGAACTAATGGGTGGTGGGCGGATGACCGGCGGACCCCAAAAAGCAAGCGGAAAAATAAAATATAGACTATGTTAAGAAAAAAAAGAAAAAGAAGAAGGGACGACAAAGACAAGTGAGCCAGACGCGACAGGCTTCAGGGAGGTGGCAAAAGAGAGCATACGAAAACCACCGTCGCCGCTCTGAACCGCTGGAAGCTGTCACATAGCACAGCATGCAGCAAACATTATAGGGGCCATGCCCCCGTTGCTTCAAGTAAAGAGGCAGCGCCCATCGCCTCACATACAGCAGCCGGGTACGTACTACACAAATAGCCTCTTACTCAGCAAGAAGAAAAACGATTGCGGTTGACGTTCGATGTTGTTGGGACCCCAACGGCGATAATAGGAGAGACAGGTGCTACTACTACGTAGATCAACAGAAGAAAGCGTAGAGAAGGCATTAATTAACTCTCGAGACCCTAACCGAAGACACTCACTCTCGTCCCTGTGGCCCACCGCAGGCTGTAACGAACGACGACATCCGATGTGTGCTCAGCAACAACAAACGCAACAAACCAAATATAGTCGCCGTTTCCGAACTAACTGTGGAGACTCTCTTTCATCACTTGTGGTATGAAGTATGAAGTGACAACGAAATAGAAAATGATGACGAGAAGCACCACGGACGAACTATTTTCTCAATACGCTTGCCGTCGCGATAGACGCGCACCGTTCCACGAACGACCAGTTGTCAAACCTCACTACGCAAATAAGATTGTTGTCCTGCCATCTACCCCTTATCGCTCAAATTACGACTACGCAGCACACTAAAGGTAAGTAAGGCAGCAACACGCTTGCGATGCTTTACCACCCATCCATGCATGTAAGAGAAGAAAAAAAAAAGGGTATGGCGGACCGTCTGTTGTCTGTATCTTCAACCGTGCTGCCGTTGCTTTTCTTCATGGATATCGGCACAGAGAAAAAATGAGGAATGCGCATCTCCTACGCGAGCACGGCGTGCAGCCCAAGCGACAGAGACGATAACCTTATGACCTTTGCAGCATCTTCCGAGCATAACAGCAGCCACCGCATGTGTACAACGGTCACTATAGACTAAGGAAGAAAATCACAAAATCACTGGTTATCGCCCCACAGCGAGCGATAGCTGCTCAAACGACTGTGAGAGGTCTTGAAATCGTCTCAGCTACCCAGAACTGCTGGTAGTTGCCGGAGATTTGCAGGTACGTACTGCTTTTGCCTACCACTCTCGTCCTCTCGTCCGCACATCAACAACAACAATAAATGCTAATTTTCGCACCACAAAAGAGCCATCCATGCAGAAAGTTGCAACAACAGAACAAAAGCAGCTCCTGCTGTATGTACACAGAATGTCCAGCTGTGTGCTGAGGTCGGTCAGCATCTCGAGAGAAGCGTAGCCAGCAAGCAAGGCTTGGCGCGGGACACGAGAGAAGCAAGCAAGGCTTGGGGCGGGCGGCGAAAAAAAGAAGACGACTCTATATAAAAAGATCTGTAAAAAGAAGGGTTGGCGCGGGCGGCGAAAAAAATGAAGACGACTCTTATACAAAAAGATCTATAAAAAGAGGACCCTCAACGACAAGTCAACCAATCTGGTCGTTCCGATGTGACGATGTAACGCAGATCTTCTTGTCGACGGAGAAACTGGTTATCGCCCCACAGCAAGCGATAGATGCTCAAACGACTGTGAGAGGTCTTGAAATCGTCTCAGCTACCCAGAACTGCTGGTAGTTCTCGGAGGTTCGCAGTGTGGGCTGAGATCGGCCTTTTCGACCCGGTCGGGCAAGGGGTCCGCTATGCTACTGAAAACTCCACAGACGGAAAAAAAAGACTTTTGATCGACTGAGACCCAAGCTAGAGCTTGGGAATGTGTGCCCTGTAAAGTGCCATTTTTTCCGGAACATCTTCATGAGGCAGACCCTCGAGCTTGAGATCAGGAGGTAGGTCATTGGCTTTCAAAGTGAACCGTGCCGTGCTAATCACTTCCTGGTTGACCGTGGTTTGGGTTACCGGGGTAGTGGTGTCCTGGTTTACCGTCTGCTGGTTTACCTGGTTCGGTGAGGCCTGGTTTACCGTGTTTTGGTGTACCGGGTTAATAGATGAATTTGTCGGTGTAGACACATTCATATTCTGAGCAGGGGTCTGTTGAACACTTACTGTCGTGCGCATACCAGAACGATTTTCTGCATCTAGATCGGAGGCAAGCGAACGCGGATTCACCTGCTGGATATCATGCTGGTGGACGGCTCCTGGCATGAGCATGTTGAGAACCCATGCCGGTGGGGTCTTTTCCGCTTCCACGGCCTTCGTGACCGCTCCAACGAGAACGGCTTCCAGCGACCCGCCGCTTGCCAGGAGCGAACCGCTCTGCTGGCTTGCGGCGCTTGCGCGGTTCCGCAGGATGTCGTGCGCGAGGTCGTCGTCAACGTCGTCGTCGCCAACGGCGCCTTCTTCGCTGTCGTCATCATTGTCGTCGGAGTTCGGGTCGGTGTCGCGGTGTCGGGTGGTGACAGCTTCGGCGCCATCGCCAGCGCTGCTGTTGTTGTCGCTGTCGTCACGACTTCCACCCACCAAAGCTTGGAAGTACCCGCCACGGTTACCGGTCTGCGAGGGTGCTACGCTCGCAGCCGCACCAGCGGTGTCCCCAGCTTGGGATGGCGTCGACTGTCCCTCTTGGGGCTTAGCCGAGCCTTGGTGGTTAGGCGCAGCAGCGTCGGGGCGCGGCTTCGTCTGCTGTTTGGTCATCAGCGGCTTTTGCTTTTTCAGCTGTTGCTGCTGTTGTTGCGACCCTCCGTCCTTTTTCTTTCCTCCTCCTTTGGAGCCCATGTTTCACACGTGGGTTGTAAAGATAGAACGCTTCGTCGAACGCCAATATGGAAGCCCTCTACTCTGGCTGAGCAGAGAGTCCGGGAGTGTGGTGGCTATGTCCTGCCACCGGAGGTTGGCTATTTCCTTTGGTGCAATATGGCGAGGAATGCCAAGCGTGACCGAGCGAACTCAGTCAAGCTAGGGTGGCGAGGAGAGTGGGCGAGCCTTCGTGGACCCTTTTCCCATTCTCCTAAAGATTCATCAACTCTTCGCAGCCGTTGGGAATCGTAAGAGTCATAGACCCTCGAAGAACGGTAATCTATTATCACATATCCTCTCAGATCCTACTCTTTATGTACGTGTATCTGTGCTCCCTGAATCTCCATATCCTGACCTCCACAGGACCCCAAGAAAAATTGTTATTTCCATCCGGGATGCGTGACAGTCAAAGCTACGCGTGGCCCACACAAACACCCGCCACAAGTAGTACAGAAGGCGCCGCCACCGAGTAGGACAACCTCTTGCTTCCCCGAGGCTCGTCTCTCTCTAAATAGGGCCACCCAACAACGACTATATGTATGGGTTGCATGGTGTAGGATTCTTGACTATTGTACTGCCGTGCAGCTGTTATTGTGGTCAACTTCTTTAACGTGTCTCCTTTCGAGTCTCAAGTTCGTAACTGCCACATATTGTTGAGTGGTAACGCGTACTGCTGTGGCTCTATGCGCCGTTCCATTTGATGCACCTGTACATGGCTCTCGCTTGTGGCCGGTACTGAAGTACCTCCATGCGCCGTTCCAATGTCTCGCGCCTTTATCTCTCCACGCGGCAGCTGCTTGTGCCCTCGCCGCGGCATCGTTCTGCGGGCTCCTGGTGTTCGTGCTGGCCCTGGTGCTGGCGCTTGCGGTGTTGCTCACAACCTGGCGGTCGTTACTGCCTCGCAAGGCCTGGGAAGACCCATCCAGTCCTCAGACCAACCGGCTGCCCACCCACTCAAGGCTGTGCAACTACCCCACCTTTGAGGAGGCTGCCGCCGCCTCCAGCGGGAGTGGCTCTCCCAACGTCGTGAGCCTCAGGTACTTGCCGGTCATCAGTAACAAGGACTGCTGTTTTGGCCGCAGTGTGTGGGGAACGCGAGCGACGTTGAGATGTACAGTACCCGCTTGTCTCTCCCGCAGCATTGAAGGCCGCGTTGTTTCGCCGCAGGGATTGGGTTTTGTTCGGTGCCTGGCTTCATATGGATGGGGGAAGTACATGGCCGTCATCCGCAGCGATGCGTAAATGTCCTAGTGTAGCTATCGGGTACCTCTGTAGGTGTGAAGACGGTTGGGGTAGAGAAATTCTCGACATGTCCGACGCACTGCAAGCACTCGAGCTTTGCCCTCAAAAGAGGCGACGGCGGGAGACGATAGGAACATCGCCATCCTCTCTTTGCCAGTCTCAATCAACACCACGCTAAGTCTTATCCCCCTCCCCCACCGACACCCTCACTTACCACAGTGGGACTTGGAAGTTCCTCCTGGCGAGCGGGGTTTCCGCCTCTCCCGGAGGCTTCGAAGACCCGGGGTTCTCTGACGAGTCGTGGGATGACATCGACGTCCCCGGACACTGGCAGCTACAGGACGCCGGATCGAGAGACCCCCCCATCTACACCAACACCAACTACCCGTTTCCGAACCATCCCCCGTACGCCCCGAGGGAAAACCCGACGGGTCTCTACCGCCGGAGCTTTGCCCTCCCGGCGGAATGGCTGGTTTCGGGCGCGGGGGGCGAGGAGGGGCCGAGCGGACGTTTTTCGCCCGGCGAGGTGTGGCGGGGGCGGGGGGGGGGGGAGGGGGGGCGTACTCTTATGTTTTGCATGCCGTAGCGGTTAGACCATTGACCACGCGTCCTCGAGAGAACGGAGCAAGGTGTGGCGGGGGGGGTATTCTTTTTTAGCGACCTCAGTAGTCTTTGGGGGAGAGCTCTTGGCGTGTTTGGCCGGGGGTATGTGGCATACCTATTGTTCTGTTTCGGACGGGAACAATACCGTGGGCGGATTCCGTACCCGTACCATAGGTTCGGGGAAGAAACCGTCCAAGTCGGTAGTCCGAATTCCTCCATCACAAAACATTCCGACCGTTGTGATCCGTATTGTCTTTTTGTTCTTGCCTGTGGCGTGCAGGGATCGGAAAGCGCCCGCCTCAGGGGGCGCGTGGTTCTCGTGTTCCAAGGCGTCGATTCCGCCTTCCACGTGTGGGTGAACGGCCTCCCCGTGGGCTTCGCCAAGGGCAGCCGGCTGCCCTGCGAGTTCGACGTGACGGATACTCTGAGAGGGCCCGGCGAGCAGTGCCTGTGCCTGCGGGTGGTGCGCTGGAGCGACGGCAGCTACCTGGAGGACCAGGACCACTGGTGGTTGAGCGGGGTTTACAGGGAGGTGGAGCTGGCGTTACGCCCTGCTCCCGTGAGGATCTCGGACTTCGTGGTCAGGTACGCCAATTCTTGGGGCGGGTGGCTGTTCGAGCAGCGGGGTAAGAAGTTGTTTTTGAGTCACTACTTTATTGAATAATTTCTCTGAAGAGCGACCACCGCCACTACTGTGAGGCTGTGATCAACTCGCGACTGCTCTCTTTCGAGCTCGTGGCTCCGGTGGAGTCGGCCGATACAGACCCGCGTGGGGTGGTAGTGGTCGAGCGAGGCGACCAAACATATGTTGGTATCAAGGGTACTGTAGCATGCATAACCCAACAGTGTCATGTTTTTGAGTGAAGCGCGTGCAACACGGCGGGTCCTGTTTGATAATCGCGATGCGGTCGATGCAGCCTTGCTTTGCCGCGGCACCGCCGGCCCCATCTCCCCCCCCGGCCGCCAGTCACCATCGTTTCCCCCCAATTCTGACGCTATATTTGCTCCGTTGATTTTTTTTTGCCGTTGTCGCGTCCCTTACCTCATAATCTCTTCATTATTGCGTGCCCTATCGTTTCTTCATTGCTGCGCCCCTTACCCCACCTATCCAGGCCCTTCCTCGGCGAGGGAGCAGACGGCGCTTACACGCGAGGTTCCCTCGAGGTAGAGGTTCTGCTAGAGCACGATGCCGCCGCGCACACGGCACGCCCTCCCCCGACACCATCTAACGGCGGCGGCGGGATGATTTCGGGGGCAACGGCGGCGGCGGCGGCGGCGGCAGCGGCCGGCCTAGCGGCCGTTACTGCAGACGACCGCGGCGACGGCGGGGGAGACGACGACCACCGCGAACACTGCACCAGCGAGCTCCTCGAGAGCGAAGACGACGGGCGCCGAACGGCGTCTTTCATCCCCCTCGGAAACCTGGCGGAGGCGGTAGAGGCCGGGGAAGCGGGGTCTCGAGTCGACGCGTTGGCGGCGGCGGAAGGATGGGAGGTGGAGTGCACTCTGCTGGACACGGCCACGGGGCAGCGGTTGCCTCTGGAGCTCGCGGGAACGCTGCCGGACTGGCAGATGGGACTTCCTCCGAACGAGCAGCAGAGGCAGCGGCGGGGCGCGATGGCCCAACACGAGAGCAGCGGCGAAAAGCCCTCCCGGTTCCGGCGGATGCTGCTGGGGATGCTGTTCAGCGGGCGGAGAGGCCGCCCGCACGTCGGCAGCAGCAGCAGCGGCGCCTCCTCCTGCTACGCGGCGGGGGGGGGAAGCGCGCCGACCCCGACGCCCCGAACCGCGTGGAACTCCGTCCGCTTGTTCCGGCTGCGGGTGCCGGGAAAGACGAGAGCGTGGTCGGCGGAAGACCCCCACCTGTACACCCTTGTCGTGAGCCTGAAAGGGGGCGGCGGCGGCGGCGGCGGCGGCGGTGGCCTATGTGCGGGGGGGGGGCACGCGAACGGGACAGAGAGGGCGGATTGTTCTTCAGCCCCCCCGCCGTCGCGTGTCTTGGAGCAGTTCGAGTCGGCCAGGGTTGGGTTTCGGAGGGTGGTGGTGGCCTCGGGGCAGCTGCTGGTGAACGGGGCGGCGGTGATGGTGGCCGGGGTGAACCGGCACGAGCACGACCCGGACACGGGGAAGACAGTCTCCGAAGAGTCCATGCGGCGGGATATCGTCCTGATGAAGAGGTGGCTGCTGCTGTGGTTAGATTGGATTTTGTTCGAGTAAGACTTGTTTGTTGTTTATATCTTGATGAAGAGGTGATCGTGATATGGATCGGATTTTGTTCGGGTAAAACTGTTTTTTCGTATTTCTTGATGAAGAGGTGATTGCCATATGGGTTGTATTTTTTTTGGGTAAGACCTTTTCTTCATATTCGAAGTATGTCCTGATGAAGAGGGGATTGTGATGTGGATTGGGTTTTGGGCTTGTACATAAGAGCGTTTTTTTACGTCCCGGATGAGAGGACTGCTGTGATTGGATTGACTTGTGTTTTTTTTCCACGACTTGCGTTATACTTCGAAGTATTGTTTTCTGCTACAGTGCTAGATGGAGGTGAGAAGATTGTTTCAACCGCGACCCTCGTTGACATTTCGCGTCTTGTGCTCCACATCTCATGAAATTCAAAATTTTCGCTGCTGAAGTGATGCACGACGTCATCTGTCGGGACTGTTATTTTCTTACTTCTTTTCGCGGTCCTACCGTAGATTCAACTTCAACGCCGTTCGAAACTGCCACTACCCGAACCACCGGCGATGGTACGAGCTCTGCGACGAGCTAGGGCTTTACGTGTGCGACGAAGCGAACATCGAGAGCCATGGCCAGGTGCGTGTGTGTGTGTGGGCGATGTGTGTGGGTGGAAAGAGCTTGTCGAGGCCAGATCGTTAACCTTGACCAGTCCCTTGTTGGCGCGTCTTTGATGGTATGTACGTGCTTGATGAGGCCGGGGCCGACAACCTCGTTCACTTACTTGTTGGCGCGGTTTATGAGATGGTAGTACATGCTTGGCGAGACCACTCTTGCTACGTATTGGTCGGGCTGTGGTTGGGGTCTCCCGCTACCGTAGCGTCTTTTTCTCGATCTCCGTTCCGAGCCTCGCCCGGTAGCAACGGAACACAGCATAGCACGGAGACTGAGTAGATCGTTTATCTTGGGAGCGAGATCGGCTATACCCCCCTGGGGCGGGCGACCCTCCTCGGTGTTTACGCCGTTATGCTAACGTTGTGCTCTAACCTTAGGGGCAGCATTTTTTTTTTCTCTCTCTTCGCGTTGCTTGCCGGACACGGCAGAGCAGCCTGCAGCTCCCAGAAGGGTCCATTGCCCCCCTCCTTTTGTCCCGCCCACTAATTCAGTTCCTCTTCTCTTCACGTTTCAGTTTTGTCTTGAGTTTCAGTCTGAAACGAGTGTCGTATCCGGTGCCAAAGAGAGACAAAATAAAGTCGATGCCCGAACAAAAGATACATTTTGTGTGCCCTTTTTTCCCCTGTGCCGCACGCGCAACAGATACCCCTCGGGCGGCTGAGCGCAGACCCTTCGTGGCGACCGGCCTACCTTGACCGGGTCTGGCGTATGCTTGCCGCCAACAAGAACCACGCTTGCATCGTGCTGTGGTCCCTGGGTAACGAGTCCGGGGACGGGGAGAACCTAGCGGCTTGCCGGCGACTGGTGAAGAAGGTGAAGAGAGAGAGAGAGAGAGAGAGAGAGAGAGAGAGAGAGAGAGAGAGAGCGAGAGAGCGAGAGAGCGAGAGAGCGAGAGAGAGAGAGAGAGAGAGAGATAGAGTAGGATGCGTCTGGCTGGCGGTACGTTCGGGAGGGACACCTCTGTGAGGTTCATTTTCTTTGAGTTACACCTTCTTTGAGGCATACCTCTTTGAGGTACACCTTCTTTGAGGTACACCTCGTTGGAATATTCCTCTTTGATGCTCCTCCTTTTTTGAGTACACCTCTTTGAGGTACACCTCTGTTGAGGCAAATCTCTCTTTGATTACATACACCCCCTTGGGGTATACCTCATTGAGGCACACATCTTTAACGTACCCCGTCTTTGAGGTTCACTTCCTTGAGACATATCTCATTGAGGTATGCATGCATCTCCTTGAAGTATTACTCTTTGTGTGTGAGAAGGCCTTCTGTGCGACACTACGTTCGTGAGGTTTGCTGTAGGAGTCAGGTCGGCCTGTCACAGCCAATGCGAAAGCTGCAACACATGGCTCTCAACAGGCTCCAAGCTGGAGGTCGATCCCATGCAACACTAGCGGCACGGTTCGCCTGTATGCGAAAGCCACCAAGCACCGCAAAACTGCCCCCATGTACACGTATAACTACCACAATCATCACGAAGCTACTGTCATGCCGGAGTGGAGCGGCATGTCGACAAGAGCGGCTAGGTCGGCTTGGCACAGCGAGTAAGAATGAAGGCTGCTGTTACCAACCAAGGCCAGTGCTGTTCCTTCCGACTCTGCGGCAACCTGCTGCTTCACAGGTGGATCCTTCCCGGCCCGTGGTGTACGAGGGCGGCGGGAAAAGCCTAGCCGAGGGATGCGGCTGCACGGAGCTCACCGATGTTGTGTGCCCCATGTAAGGCAGAGCATGAAGCCGTTGCTTGCTACCTGTACACACGAGTGTTGTTTTCTGTCATGGTTCATGTGTTGACGTTTTTTCTCAGCGATTATGTTTCTGGGGATAGGCGGGGGGCGGGGGCGGGGGTGGGGGGGGGTACCAGTGTAGCGACCGAAGGTAGTTGGAGCTTTTTTGGGAGCCTAAGGGGATGTTGGGTTTGATCTGGCTGTGCCGTGGGTGTGGGAGCGCAGTGCACCATCTTGTTTCAGGTGTGCACACAAGCTTGTTTTGTTGTAGTGGGAGCCTCATCCGACAAGTTGCTATGATGGCGCTTTTTTTGTGATATGATGTGATGTGATGTACAGGTACCCTACGGTGGAGACGACGGAGCTGCTGGGCACGGACGGCCCCGACGGGGTGGGAGAGACACGGCCCTGCGTGCTGTGCGAGTACTCGCACGCGATGGGGAACAGCAGCGGCAACCTGCACAAGTACTGGGAGGTGAGGACGTGTGATGTTGTGTACGATGTTGTACGCAGTAGCAGCAGCACACATTGCGCGTCGTTTAACAGCAGTTCCCGCCACCGGAGTTGTTTTGTCGTTGTTGTCGTGGGCCGTCGAAGCGTGAAATCACGCCATGGTCCCGCTCCTGTTAGTCTACAATCTGTCTGTCCCCCCTCCAGTAAAGCTTCCCTACGGTGAGCTGACCCTCCTTTCTCGGTGCGGCCCCCACCCCCCTTCCCTGCATAAAAATACGGAAAACTTTTTTCCCGCCCCGCTATGTAACGCATCTTTTCCCGCGCATGCGTGGATACATGCAGCTCTTTCGCAGGCACCGCCGGTTGCAGGGGGGCTTCATCTGGGACTGGGTGGACCAAGGCTTGACGAGGCGCGACCCGACCACGGGCCGGAGGTACTGGGCCGATGGCGGGGGCTTCGCGGGCGGGCACAGCAAGGCGAGACTGACACTGTTTCCGGCGAGGAGACGTTGTCTTTAAAGCTCTACAGAGTCATTTGGAACAGCCTTTCCGTCCGATGAGAACACAAGCTGCCAAGCTGGTGCCAGATTAGAAAATGCGGTGTTTGTAGTGGCGTGTTCTGCTGGAAGTCTGGTGTGTTTTCGATACTCGTTGCAAGGATTGAGACCGGTGGACGCGAAGGAACCAAGCGTTGTGTACGGCTAGGCCGACACCTGCAGTGTTTTTTCTTCAGTCAGGCACAGTAATCCAAGACAGGCTCGCGAAAGTGTAACCCATGATCCCTGATCAACATGCTGATGGTGCTCGTCCACACGGCTGACTGCGTAGTGCCAGGAGAACAGAACCACTCGCCACCCACTCACTCTCCCCATTTTTTTCGTGTATCCCACCCCATGGGTAAATTAATTTATACTTTCCCAGTAATGGCGGCAGAAAAATGTGCTCCTGTTGCTCCCCCCCCGCCGCGTTGGTATCCCATCCACCCTGCAAAGACAAAGCTCCGGCATCTTGGCTGTTTCGTTGTTCCTTCTCTCCCCAGGGGTACGACGCGTTCTGCGTGAACGGCGTAACGTTCCCGGACCGTTCTCCGCACCCCGCCCTGTACGAGGCCAAGTTCCTCGCCCAGCCGGTCGGCATCGAGCTCCTCCGAGACGACGACAACGACCACCACCACCACCCCCTGGGAGAAAAAAAGAGGCAAAAGAAGGAGACTATTAAGAAGATCGGTTCGCCCGGATCCGAACCGAGGGTTCTCTTCACGAACCGCTACGCGTTCTCATCGCTGGACCACCTGTCCATAGCGTGGCGGCTGGAGTCGTCGGCATCAGCCGCGGTGGCGAGCGGCGCTGATTCTTCCCCCCCTTCCACCGCCGGACGTCTGCCCCTCTCCGGCCTCCTGCCCGGGGAATCTCGAGAGGTGTCGGTGGGCATCGACCGCGACGACGTTTATTTTACGGAGCCCCCTCCGGGAGGAGGAGGAGGAGGAGGAGGAGGAGGAGGAGGCGGCGGGGGTGATGGGAGAGAGTTCTTCTTGCACGTCGAGGCGAGGCTGGCGGTCGACACCGCCTGGGCGTCGGAAGGGCACCTGGTCGCCTGGGCCTGCTTCCCGTTGGAGGGAGCATCGCTGCGGCTGCCGCCGCCGCCGCCGCCTCCGGCTGGGGGCCTCGCGGGGGGCTCCGCCGAGGCAGAGGAGGGGGTTGGGGGAGGGGGGGCTTCGCAGACGGTAGTGGTACCCACGCCGTCGCACAGGTTCATCGCGTACGAGGACGAGGAAGGCTCCGCGCAGAGCAGTAGGGAGGCGTCGCCGCTGGGGCAGCTGTGAGTGCCCCCTTCCCCGGCCGTGTGCTTTTGAGGCCGCCACACGGGGTCCCCCGTGTGTTTGCTGTATGTTTTTCTCTCTATGCTATTGTATGTACCACTCGTTTTGCCGTGTTTTGTTGGTGTGCTCGATGTGGGGTTGCTTTTTTGCGTTCATGAGGGCGGCGATCGATTCGACTCCGTTTCCTGTTGCATACCTCGCGCTGTTCGTCTGCGTGGTCTCCGTCCGTCCTTGGAGCTATACTTTCGACCTTAACAAGGAAAGGGGCAAACCAGAGACAATACCACTCTCCTCCTCCTGTCGTGTGCTTTTTGTGGAGACATCTGGAGGAGGTAGCGCTGGTGGAGACGTGCGCGACTAAGCAGCTGACTCCTCGAACCGCGAACGCCCCCCTCCGGCCTTCCCTGATTCGACTATAACGTTGGTCTTCATGCCCAATAGCGCATCAAGGTCTCAAGAGCTGTTGCACGTATTCTTCCTGTTCGCTTGTGTCCTGCAGGCGGCAACACCTCCTCACGGACATCCCCGCGATGCCCCCGTCTTCGAGCGTGATCGTCATGAAGGGTTTGCTAGACCCAAGAGGCGTGATCGGCTCGGCCGCGGGAGAGCAGCACCGCTTCTCGCAGGATTGGACTCTGGTTGTGAGCAAGATCGAGGGTAACATCGTGCGTTTCGTGGCCGGCGGCGTGGACCTCATCGAACCGGGGGCAGGTGAGTGCACTCCCCCCCCCCCCCCCCCCCAGAAGAGAAATAATAGTACGTTGCTCCCGTGTCATGAACCTGCTGCCACGGGAAGCATTGTCGTCAGTTTGACCAGTACGGGTTTTAGAAGGTACGGATGAGTATCGAGATCAAACGGTTTTCAACGCGAAGACTTGAACATTGGTTGTTGCTTATGGTTTCCTTGAGGGGGAGGATAGTGCGACTGGGTCATACGCCTCTCCCAGGTCAGGTTTGAGAGAGAAGTACAGCGGAGTCTTTCCTTCCTTCTCTTGGGGCAAAAGGTGCCAAAGACCGCTGTCTCTCTTTCTCTCTTTCTCTCTCTCTCCCTCTCCCTCTTCTTCTTCTTCGAGAGAGCTTCTTTGAGAGAGAGAGGGCTTCTTTGAGAGAGAGAGGGCTTCTTAGAGAGAGAGAGCTTTGAGAGAGAGAGCTTCTTTGAGAGAGGGAGCTTCTTTGAGAGAGAGAGGGCTTCTTTGAGAGAGAGAGCTTCTTTGAGAGAGAGAGAGCTTCTTTGAGAGAGAGGGAGCTTCTTTGAGAGAGAGGGAGCTTCTTTGAGAGAGAGAGCTTATTTGAGAGAGAGATGGAGAGTAGAACCGTACTACGGCGGGGGTGCAAGGGCAGTGCAGTCTGTGCTCAGCTTGAGCAAATAGTGAATGGGGTCGAGATACTGAGCAGCACGCTGATTTCAGCGAAAAAAAGAATGTCCAGAGCAAACTTCTATTTAGCTTCACCGAGCGCACGGTGAAAAAAGAGCATTTGGAGGGCGCCAACACACCCTGTGGTATGTATCTGCAGCCGACCGCCTAGTGTTCCCCCGCTGCATCGCTAAATAAACCACGCACAAGTCCCAAGCCCAAATCGGATAGTTGTTGTTGTTGTTGTTGTTGTTGTTGTTGTTGTTGTCTTCACATTAAAAACCGTAAAAACCGTTCTGATCTCTCTGCGTAGTACCTTCTTCTGTCCGTACTAGTCTAACACTTGACTCGGTCGATTCCCGTGGTCACAGGCTAACTTACCCCCCCCCCAAAAAAGGTATACGAAAGTAAAATGGACCCGAAGGGTCCGCAAGCCACTAGAAGTCAAGGACAGATAGTCTAGGCCATTCCGATAGTACCGTGGGGAAAAAGCATTGATGTCGTGTCGGGGTGACGCTCGTATCGTGAGCCCGTCAAAGGCACACGCGAGCGCCAAGGGCCCTCGAAGGGTTGTTGTTGGGGTTAGCCGCCATGATAGTGTCTCCCTCACCGTCCGGTGTACATACCTCTCTCGTGTCGTGCACTCCCGTCCGGCGCCGCGGCCAGGGCCCTCCCTCTGCTTCTGGAGAGCCGCCACCGACAACGACCGGGCTGGGTGGCCTACCCTCCTAAACTTCGTCGTGGATCACCGCCTGGTGGGGCTTCTGTCCAAGTTTATGCCGCTGTCGCGCCTCAGGTACGCGCAACTTTTTCCGTAGCGTAGAACGAGCGCCACCTCGAGCGGCCATCGGTGATCGGTCCTGTGGAAACAATGCTCCGTCCTCTCGAGGACGCTTGGTCAATAAATGGTCGAACAACTGAGGCATGCAAAATATGAGCTAAGCCCTCCCCCCCCAGCCCCCCTTTTCCCCCTAATTTGTCGTGGAAGCAGTGTCTCCTCGCTGTGCATGCAGTACCCTAGTTTGTCTTTGAAGCACCCCCTCGCGAAACCACCCTTATGGAACCCATGCTCTTCGACTGGCATTGCATTGCCTACGACGGGACGATACCGTGCTTGGTGGATGTGTTCAGCCACTTGGAGCGGTGGAAAGCCAGCGGACTCTGCGCGTCGGACCCTCCCGTGTTCCGCACCCAAGGCGTGCGTGTGGAGAAGTCCACCGCACAAGAGTGTATCATCAGGGTCAAGACGAGGTCAGTGCCGGTGTCGCCCCCACACACCTCAGTCAGCACTCTTCTTCTGTCATTTCTACAGCAGCACGCCTGATTCGTTCTTTGTAGGTAGCTTCAAGGCCGCTCGCTACGGATGGATATCTCCTGGCATTAGTCGTTTGAGGAGAGAGTAGAGCTTGTCAGAGGTCGTCCTGCGAGGCAGCAGCCGGAAGGGGGCAAGTTTCAGGTTTGAAGGAAAGTCCAAAGGACATCGTCTATCTCTGCTTTTACGTACTTTCCCGTGAGGCATCACTGACGTCACCTCCCTGCCCGGTACACCTTGCGTCGCCCCGCCTGGTGCACCCCCCCCCCTCCCCAACGTTGCATATCATCGGCCGGCATTGCAGGTGCGCCTCTCGCTATGGACAAGTCTCGCTGTTCGATATCACCACCGAGATACGAGTGTCCCCCGGAGGAAGCTTGGAGATGACCGCCGAGGTCGAGCCCCTCAAGGGGGTGATGACGCGAGATTGCTTGAGCCTGGCCAGGGTGGGTGTCCTGCTCCAGCTACCCCCTGGGTTTGGGCGAGTGGAGTGGTTCGGCAAGGGGCCGTTCGAGTGTTACCAGGACCGCAAGGTGATGGCTCTGTCTTGCTCTCGTGCGTGGTCGACGAGACATTGCCCGGTTGCCTCGAGGATTTTTTTTGTTGTTGTGTGAGGAAATTGATTTCTCTTTTGGCGCGAGGAGGTTGTGTCTTAGTGCGGGGCTTCGCTGTTTTTTCCTCCGTTTCATGTGGAAGGGTTGGCGACTTCGTATCATTTTTGGGTTTCATGGTTTCAAAATCCTCCGTATGTTGAGTTTTTTGGGAGATGCGGGGGGAAGACGGGTTTTGTCCCCCTGCTCTATGACGAGTAGTGACCGCTTTTCGCACACACAAGGGTCTTAGCCAACCCCCGCCAGCGGTGCTTTGGTCTGTCCTTGTGCATCATTCTTGTTTTGGCCTTGTGTGTTGGCGAGTGGACCCTCTGCTGTTATCACATTTTACCTGTTGTTCCTTTCTCTGGGAACTTTTAAGTCTCGCGTGTGCTCTGGTCGGCCCATTCTCGGCGTGGGCATTTGCATCGCGCGCTTTTCTCCATGGTCAATCCGAGAAAAATCCTGTGCCTGTTGTCGGCAACCCTCTCGGGGGCGCTCAATGGCCTGAACCGAAGCCCCTTCTTTCCGCCTGAACACGTGCTTCTTCTCAGCACGGTGCGACGACCGGTGTTTTCTCCGGAACGGTGGAGGATCAACACGTGCCGTACATGGTACCCAGCGAGAACGGCGGCAAGGCCGACGTCCGGTGGATGGCGCTCCGTAAGGGGGAAGGGGGGGCTGGGTTGCTCATGCAGGCCGAGACAGGCGCCGTGTTTCAGGTAAATACATATACTATGGTACCATTACAAGTAGGACAAAGAGTTCTCCGACGGCATTTCCTCTCTTTTCTTTGTCCGAATGCCAAATAATGCGATAGGCAGGCACAGACTTTGTGGTCCAAGCGTTGGGAACGTCTCAGGAACCAATAAATATTGTGTCACGTTCAGTGTTGTGGTCGCGAGGGGAAATGCGCCTGGCATCCATGTGGAGCATAGTTGTGCACCTAGGGGACATGCTCACGAGCGGCTAGTGTGAGAACCGTGGATCGACACATCGACACAGCCATTGCTACCGTCCCTGGCGAGGGTCGCAGCAACGCGTTTTTTTTCGTTTCTTGAGCCCGGCGGAAAAAACGAGCCCTTTCCCGTCGCCAAAAGCTTGCGGCTGCGTTGCAAACTGGAGGACATGATACTTCCTGAGCGCGGTCGAGGGTCTGAGACATCTTCGACAACATCTCCTTTCGCTCAGTCTGACCCTGCCAACTACTTCGTTCGGTATTCGGTAGTGTTGGTTGACGAGCAGCAACGTCATGCGTATCTCCAACACTCATACGCATGGCTTGCCCCGTGCTCCTCACTCGCACGATTGCTCAGAATATCACCCCCCCCCCCCCCCCCCCCCCGGGGGTTGAAGTATTGTCGTGGCTACCGAAATGAAACGTTTGGTTAACCGGGATGCCCCGCCAACCCATGGGGTATCTGGTTTGGCGCAGCAAACGCAAAGGATGACGATCAGCTCTTCTGGTTCGTCGTTGTGGAGCGTAGCATTGGCCGGCGAAACCCGGCATATCGCTCCGTTCCGGCATTGCACGGATGCGAGGTCTATGATATAACGACTACGGCATGAAATTACAGGAGTACCCCCCCCCCCCCCCCCCCCCCCCCCCCCCCCCCCCCCCCCCCC